TACTCCTTGACTGAAATCATTCTGCCTTCCTTCGCTCATGCGGCCTGGAAACGGCAGAGTCAGGGCTAATGGCTCAACCGCCCATCGTTCCCATTCTTCTTATCTCTCTTTGCCGGTATATACTACAACCAATTTCTTTCTCCCTATCTGGCATCCAAGTCGATGTGCTATACTACCATTCAGTGTTATCAGGTTATACCAAGTGGCGGTTTCTTCATTCTTCCTCGGGCACAAAGTACGGCAAGAACTGCTTACATGCTTTCTCGAATCAAGCTGCACTCACAGAGAGATTATGTTGAGCGTTGGGTGTTCTATAATAACCCCAAGAATATCAGTAATATTAGTACGATGAGCCGAATCTTGAAAATCAAACAGACAACGTGATTACGAGACCCAATTGCGTAGTGCAAAGTAAGAGAGAGGTTCAAAAGCACGCTACACCGGCCGCTACGGTCGCCGAGCCACAGGACCACCGAAGCCTAGCAAGCCATCCGCCGTATGCCATGAATCAACTAAGGCGGGTAGAAGAGAACCCAGAGAGCTGAAATCTGTGATTCGGCATTCAAAGTGTACCGCACCCACAGTTCGGCGCACTCCCTCGTTCTTTCCTATCAGAACTTGAAGTGAGATTAACGTGGCAGGAGGGGGCAACTTCTCTTTATTTTGGCATTCGCCTCATATATCTATCCTATCGGCCGAGAGTTGGCCTCGTTCCTTCCTCCTTTCCAGCGTTAAAGAATGCCATGGATTCCAGCGGCATTGGATGGGTAGCCAAATGAAGTAAGGCAACTGTAGCGGCATTGGAGTGTGCACTCGTGTATGATTCTATCCCATGTTTCCCTTCAGTGTCCAAGCTCGAATAAAATCCAGAGAATGCCATTGGTACTTTACGTCGCCGTGTGAATGTTTGGATCATTTCAAACAAATCCGCAGGAACCATGTCAACAACTTCTTCTCAAAGTATCCGGAGCCTCGACTCAGGACCTTCTGTAAGCCTCCCCACAGCAATCATAGCAAGTTCTGGTCTGGAACCAGTTCGCACCAGCGGACTCGACCACCGCATCCTCTCCAGCAATCTAACGTTCGCCTCCCCCTCCTCCTCCTCCGTGAGTCTTCCTGTCTGCCACCGACCGACTTTGTTTTTGAATTCTTCCTCAACCTCCACCATCGTTACGCTCGTCGCCTTCGTTCTCGTCACTGTAATGTGCTCCATCATCCATCAACAATACGCCTGTCGGCACAGACGCCGATCCTACGTCTTTTGCAAAGACGCACCCATTCGGGCTGACCGCATCGCCAGTGGGCCTGGCACACGTCGCAAACCATTACCTCTGCAGGGTCGATTCCGCCGTTTCCGGCCGCACTCTCGATCTCCCTCACCACCATCTCCTCGATCTCAGCCACCACCGCCGGACTCTCAAACTCCAGATCCACCGAGCTCTCCCCGCCCTCAATCAATCCGCATGTTCCACCGGCGCGCCCTCTGCAAATCCACGTGCGAAATGCGGCACCCCACCTCGGCACCCTGCTTCATTCCCGAATGCGACTTTGAGCGCGTGGAGCGCTGCTGGCGGTGCTGTCAATGCGGTCAAGGTCCGAATCGGCAGGGGAGATGCATGAAGGCTGTTGTAAGGCGAGTCCAAAAAGACAGCGGCGACGATAGCAGCGACAAGAAGGAGAAGTGCAAACATGAGGTTTGCAACAGGTGCGAGAAATACGGTACGCTTCCGTAATGCCATAAACTCAAAAGAAGAACTAAATGCATATCTAACCGCGAAGTCAAAGTCTTTCCCCCCATCCCTATTTACAATGTAGAGGTCCGAGACTGGGTTAAGCCTCCCGCTCCCATCGTCAACTTTGTTGATACAGTTTTGCTTCGGGCCGAAAATGATGATGGTGATGAAACGGAAAGCGATGAAGAGGGTGAATTAACCGCCTTGGTTTAGGTATTGCAAGAGGTTGAACCAGAAAAGCCCAAAAAAAGGGAAAAAAAAAAAAGGAAAGAAAGAAAGAAAAACAGTTATTATGAATAACTATGCGGACAGGCAGACAAATAATGATAACGGGTATTGGCCACAGTATTTGAGGTATGTGAGATCTAAATGGATGAAGGCCTGAAACTGATTTAACTGGTTTTGTGATCTATAAAGTATACGCAAGGCCAACAAGGCACATGAGATCTTCATGGGACTGCGCACTGGGTGTATAATGATGATAATACATACTCTGGGCGGGAGTTTCCATACGAGGGGAGACGCTGCCGAGATCTATGGCGCACTCGGAGCACACGAGGATGCAAATACGAAGCCAGAGGAAGTAAAAAAGGTAGACCAGGAGCTGGCCGGGGGGGTTGATAGAACCAGGATCGCAAAAGGTTGAAGACAGTAGCTCTGAGTACATACAAGAAGACAATAGAAGGGGAATTGGTAAGCAGTCTATGATAAAGCGCTAGCGCATTGCATTTATGGATAGAAAAGGAGAGGGAAAAAAAAAAGCTTTCCTCCCCAAGTTGGGGAACATTTCTCCCGTCTATCTTAGATTCCCTTGGAAAAAGAGACGACTGCCCATTTCCCATTCCAAGCCCATTTCCGGGCCCCTGAATCACCGCCGCCACCCTCTGTCTGCTTAAGCTTTTCGTCCTCCCCAGGTTTCAAACCGACTACGACGTCAGCCTTGCATGTTCTCAAGGCCAAGATATTAAGTCCTGATCCTGGACCAAGGGGCCCAATAGCCTCGGTGAATGGCGTCGTCGCATCCCAAGCGGCCTGGACGACAGCAAGTATAAGTAGTTATTCCGGGATGATTTGAAGAAATGGCAAAATATTGACTTACATCTCCAACCAACTTTCGATAGTTAAGATCGCCCTTGAAAACCACCAACTCGCTCTCCTTTAAATCGTCGACCACGTCCTTGGCCTGGGCCGGCAACCGCCAAAAGCTACCGGGGCCGGTCCACACTCTATTGGGCCGCAGCATCAGCTGGCCCTCGGCGTGGAATTGACTCCAGGACTGAAAGAGGAAAGTCAGCTCCTCGACCTGCTTGTCGGTCAGCTTGTCGGGCACCTTGCCCTGCAGCTCCTCCTCCTCCGAGGGAGTCTCGTAGAACGGCCTGGGGGCGGCAAGCGCGTTGAGCAGGGAAGCAAAGTCCGACACCAGCACGTCGGACACGAACCAGGGGATGGACTTGGGGTGCAGGACGACGTGCGTCGCCAGGCCGGCCGAGAGGAGGTATCCGGCCAGGACCAGGTCCACAAACAGCTCGAACCCGGCGTTGTCGAGGATGATGTCGACCCTCCTCTCATTTTTGCCTGAAGCTTTGGCTTCCATCAGGTGGGCGAACGCCTGGGGCAGGTCGTTGATCAGAATGTTCTGCTCCGCCTTCTTGCGCGCCTCGGAGCCCTGAAGCTTTTGGATGTCCTCGTACGTCAGCGACGTGAGGAGGGAGAGGTCGGTCGCGTTGCCCCAGAGGCAGATCTCGCACATTTCCGAGAAGAGGATCCGCTCCGCCTCGACGTCTTGCTGGGATGAGGTTCCGCCCCGGCCAGAGATCTGGGACATGAGGTCCTTGTAGTGGGCCGCGAGCTCGAGAACGGCGGGGCGGGAGGAGCGGAAAGTCTTGATCTTTTGGCGGGCGAAGACGTCGTAGTTCTTCCAGTGCGTGGAGAGGGCAAACGAGGTGCTGATGCGGCGGAACAGGTAGCATTCGGTGAAGAGCCAGGGGCTGGAGAGCCAGGTCGGGTTGGGCCCGAGCTGGGCGAGCTCAGAGTTGTAGGCTGCCACGTCGGGGTGGCCGTCGTCGCGGATCGGCGTCATGACGCGGTCATGTTGAACCTCGTACTTGAGCTTGGTGAGGTCCTCGACGATCTTCTTGCCCTCGTCGCGCTTGGCGGCGTCGTCGCAATGGGCTACGGATCGGTAGGCATCGTCGATGGCTTGAGTCTGCAGCACGAACCGGTTAGCTTGTAATCATCCAGGCCGGTGCTCGGGGGATGGCGCACAATGATGATGGGCCATCTTCGCCTGGCAGTTTCCCATGCGAACGAGTTTGGGTCTCCCGTCGAGTATTGCGCTGCGCCCAGTTAGACTTTGCGTCTCTCCTCTCAATTGCCGCAAACGAGGTGGCCATACGGATTTTGGGCTCGAGTTCCATTTTTTCTTTTTGTTTTCGTGGTATTATTGTGCGACTTTGTTCTTATCACAGAGCAGGCAGGTCCGTATCAAGTATCCAAAGAGTGTTGAGACGGACAGGCATACATGGGCAATAGTGCCAGCCCACTTATTTTGGGTTGAACGGAGCAGGTAATAATTATGCTCACGTATAGTATAGATAGCTTCTTCAACTGGGGTCCCAGGACAGTGGCCAGAAACGGCAGTCTACACACCCTCAAATCCCAATTTAATTTAAAAAGTTTTTGCGATTTCTCCCAGGTTACTCATGAAAACCCAAGTTTTCTGCAGGAAACAGTAATGTTATTTATGGACGCCCACCTCTGTAGCAAGCAAAGGTCTGCCCGAAATTCTTTCAAAGGTGGGGGGGAGGGGGGGGGGGGTTGTTGTTGTCACTCAACATTCAAGGTTGCTTGGAGGGGTCGGTTCCTTATCAGTTGCCGATAAACGGTCTCTTCCCCGCACAGATGCATGAGAGAGACACGTTTGTCCGCAGAGGGTAGAACGGCATCGAACCCCTGAGTGCCCCTGAAACCCCTGAGTGGCATGAACAAACAACAAAGGCATCCATCCAGACATGCTCGATTTTGATGAAGGTTTGGCAGGGAGTTTGAAGACTTTAGTTTGGGAAGGCCATTGCAAGTTATATATGAAAAAAGGAACAAAACGGACATATTACAACCCACCAAGCGCCAGGCGTGGAAGGAAGGCATTAAAATCATCATTCAATAACATTTCATACCATTACATAATGTGGGTGCAAGTTGCCTATTACGACGCTACCCGCATATGTAAACACCTAGACAACATCATCAACCATTGATTAGCAAATAGTCACTTTGGCGGAGTGGTTAACGCGCAGCCCTGCTAAGGCTGTGTCTTCGGACGCGCAGGTTCGAATCCTGCAGGTGACGATGTATCTTTTGCTGATTCTTTTTGTCTCACAAAGCTCTTCACTTCCTCCCTTCATTTGGTGGTGTGTTGTGATGTTGAGGATGACGTAGTTATGAGCCATGTGTACATACATAAATAGGTCCCAAAGTTCACCCAGGCCTAATCGTGGCCTATATATATCTATCTACTAGATAGATCCTCAGTGTACACCGATTTCTGCGTTCTGGAAGTTCCGACAGTATGGAAATAGAGTACGGGTAAATTGATCAGCTGCCTGGCATGTTGTACCGTATGTACATAAAACGGTGTATACCACTTTGCATTGACGCCGGAATTAAACATGGGTTGCATACGGCGATAGCAACGCAACCTTTCTGCATATTGTTACACACCCAACCGTCCTCGTTCTGGAAGGCCGATGGGGAAGAATGTGCAACACCGAAACCTGTGTGCTTGTGATGATACTTGCCGTTCAAAAAGGATTTGAAGGACGGCTGAGAGAGATTCGGATTTCGGGCGAGAGACGGGCCTTCCCCAACTCAGCCTCCATGCCCGACTGACTCCTTCTCGTTGTGCATCTTTGCAGCTAATACGCCCGAACATGCGCGGCTCCATTATGCTAGCCTGTTGAAAGAACGACCGAGATTCGTCGAACTTTGTCGAACTTTGTCGAGCTTCGCCGAGCTCCCTCGATGAGGCGCCGGGACTCTCATCGCGACTTTAGCTATGGCTCAAAGTATCACCGGCAGAAAAATAAAACAAAAAACACCAAGCCGATGGCGTCTCGATGGCCTCCCAAGTGTGAACAACGAGATGGTTCAAAAGTATTCAAGAACTCACTCGTGATACCGAAAATATAAGTCTACTCAAGTCCAGGCGTACACAGAAACACAAAGCGCTGTTACTGTTCGTAATTTCTCTTGTTCCAATAAACAATTTTCATTTCCAGCTCTTCCAAATCAGTAACCCTCCTTTCCCGTTGTGCGAAACTCTCCCTCTTCTTCTTTATTTCATAAAATACCTTGCCTAGGTACCTACCTGCTACCCGACACCCACCATGGCAAGCTCGACCTCCCCCATCCCCGTCGCCACCTACGGCAAAGACCCGAAGATGGCCGAGTCAGTCCGCCAGAAGCTCCTTCCTGATATCGAAGGTATGTCATCGGTGTTCTCTTATATTCGTTCAGCCTAGTTCTCCACTGGAGTGCATACTCCTTAAACTGCCCGCCCTTTTCCCGCCTCTGCACAACCTTGTTCCCGGCTTCTTCTTCTTCTTCTTCTCCTCCTTCTCCTCCTCCTCTCTTCTCTCAATTTTCTAAAAAAAAACACCTCAAGTCGTCCACTGCGTCCTCACTCTCGACGCCGCTCTGGCCGAGCTTCCACCGCTCTGCGCCGGCGAGCTAGAAATCTCCCCATCCTCGGGTCTAGGAAGCAACTCGTCGGCCCCGGACGTGTCATCCCGCAAGGTCCCCCAGGCCGTCTTTTTTGGCGGCGGCTTCTCGGACGACGAGTACGAAAAGATCTCTGCCGCAGTCCACGCCCGGGCACCCCGGGTGCACATGGTCAAGGTCCAAAAGCGGGATGTACTTGCCGCGGGGTCCATCGGACCAAACCCGGACACGATTGCAAAGGTTTATCGCAAGAAGATGGCCGCGCTGGCTGCTGCCTAAGGTGGCAGGATCCGTGGCGAAAACCATGGGCATGTCTGGCGGCTGGGAAGGAGTAGTAAGAATAAGGTGGAAGGGCAAAGGGGTTTTGATTATGGAGCCATACGAGATGTTGCAAGACGATGATGATTACGACGATGGCGACGACTGTGATGATGGCGAGAGAGCGAGATGGAAGAATAGACAACACAAGAAAAAGGAAACAAGAAACAAGAGGATGTGGGATACTTTCCTGGTTGATGGTATTGGTAGCATTGCGGCCTTGTATTTCCCCGTTTCTGATTTGGGCGTGGTGAGCGAGATGGTGAGACCGGTGGGGAGTGTATTCCCTGACGAGGAAGGTTTGCTTTTGCATGATTTATGAATGATGAATTTGGTTGTCATTTGTCCGGGAGAGTGTAGGGTGTGCTACGGGGCATGATCTCGACGAAAACCTGGAGTTAGACTTTTCGAACGTATCATGTAGCAAGCTATATTGGCAGGAGGGGAATTGCCGGTGCAAGCAAGAAATTCACAAATTGACCACAAGGCGAGCAGATACAAGGTTAAAACTGGCCAACAAGCCAATAAAACCAGTGCTACCCCAGGTCATTCAACTCCAGGGAGCAAAGGAGGTTGATTCAATATGATTTCATATCGCTTCATGATCAGAGAGCATCAACCGGACGATCGATTAAGTTTCAAAGAACCATCCCTCCCCCGCCCGAAACCACCCAGAATTGCCCAAAACGCATGCTACAACCCATAATAAACAACGCTGGGGAAAAAAAAAGAAAAAAAAAAAAAAGGGAAAAGGAAAAAGGAAAAAGGAAAAAGGAAAAAGGAAAAAGGAAAAAGGAAAAAGGAAAAAGGAAAAAGGAAAAAGGAAAAAAAAAAAAAACCGAAGAAAGTTTGCATATATTCCCTACATGAAATGCCCACCAAAGACAACACATTCATATCTTCACCTAAAAAAAAGAGGACTTCCTTTCCACAATAACCAGCCTCGTCTATCACTCCTCAGAAAAACAGCCCCTTCCGCGCCAGTCATGCCGTCCGCCAACCACACCAAAAACACCAGACAAAGTTTATGACGCTCTGGAAAAATTAGTGCACCGCCCTTATATATGTTCCAGGAAACCAATCAGTTTCGAAGATATAAGCGACACAATCCAAACCCAGAAACACCCATTCGTGTGCCTTGTTTCCCAATTTACTTCCCACCCGTCCCGTCTAGTCCCGTCCCAATAAAACACCCAAAGCCTGCCTAGCCGATGATACATTTTACGAGGCAACGGGACCAAGCACGAAGAGAAACCAAGAGAAGGTGAGACTGCCGTAATGAAATCTAGCTTTTAGCTCCTTCTATCGCCGCTGCTGGACCCATAATCTTGTTCTGCCACCAGCTTCTTGTCCTTCCTCGCCTTAATGACAAAATCGGCCGCGATCTGGATGTGATCGGCAGGGAAATGATAATTGGGAAAACCGGGGACTCGTTTCAAATGAATTTTATCAGGAGGGCCGAGCAGTTCCACAACCTCCAACGTGTTGGTCGAATACCAGATGTAGTCGATGACCTCGGCAAAGTTCGGCACGTAATTCGTAAACGAGAGTTCGTCCGGCGTTCCATTCAAGTGGACATAGGCGGATCGCATGCTGAAAGGGTGTTCCACACCGTCGCGGGTGAAGGTGCCGTACTGGTGATTGCCAAAATCACTATGTGTTGGAGCGACGCGGCCCATAGACAAGAGCTCATAGACACTGCTGTCGTTGGTTGAGTTGTAATCGCCGCAGACGAGCAGCGGAATGTCGGTATTATTACGGTACTCTTGAGATGGGCCCGGTTCTGGCACCTCTCGCCTCACCTCGCCTTCTTCGAGAGGTACCTGAATCATCTTCTTGTCCTTGAGCGGCGGCCACCGGGCATACTTCTCGGCCAATCGCGTGATATTCTCCATCAGAATGGCAGTCTGCACCAACTTGACATCGGCAAGTGTCGGTTCCCACGCCAAATGCGTATTGGCAACAATTATGCGTGATCCAGTTTGCCTGCTCTCAAAGAAGCAGATAAGGCCGATATTGTCTTTTGGCATCACACGGTTGAAGATGTCATGGTGATTCTTCATATCGGGACGATTGATGGCGATATTGGCATAGTCAATGAGCTGCTTGTCGAGCAGAATCCACTTGGAGGCTTTGTAGAAGACCGCGCAACCGTCGACTCCTTGCGCATCCTTCTCAGCCATCGTCTTCGCCTTCGGTCTCGGCCAATGCACGCCCTTGTAGTCGTCCTGAGCGAGTTCAGGACTGAAGAATTCCCGAAAAACGTCTGTAGCGATTTCTTGAAGGCACAGGAAGTCGGCGTTGGATTCGCGAATCTCTTGAAGAATCTTCATCTTGCGGTAATCCCATGAGAGAGCCTTGGTCGGAGTGTAACCGTAAAGTGACGCAGTCGCAAACTTCTCGCACAAAATGTTCCATGTCAGAGTCTTGACCCGTTCGAGGGATGATGCTACATCCTCTTGGATCACGACTGGCTTTCGGGGCACAGGGGGAGCGGGAACTTGATCAAACATGTTAGAGGGGAGCTCCGGCCTGACAATGCTACAGCGAGGGACCGCTTAACTTACTTGGGGCTTGCTCTAGGAGCGCATTAATCAGACTCTTCGTGTTGCGCTCCATTATCTCCTCCTTGTAGTTAGGAGCAATGGGATTCCCACTTATGCCGAGCATGTCCAACTGATGGAGGGACCCTAATTCGAATGGCAACTCGCGGATCTGATTGTCGAATAGGAGAAGCATCTTTAAGCCGGTACACATGCCAATTTCGGGAGGCAGGTCTGTAAGAAGATTGTTCGAGGCATCGAGATGGCGCAGCTGACGAAGCCTTCCGATATCAGGAGGCAAGTATTGGAGCTTGTTGCTTGCGATGTAGAGCTCCTGGAGGAAATCATAATTGAACAAGGCCGAAGAGAGGACACGCAGGCCTTGACCACTCATATCCAAATTATGCCAATCCTGTCGCTTGTTCTTCTCGAGGGCATAAGGTCGCCTCCTATCTTCTTCGCCATCGTTCGACGGAGCCGAAGCAGAGTTGTTGATTGAGCCACCGATGCCACGATTCTCGCCCGCCTTGATTCGAGCAAAGTAGTGAGGTGAGTGCTGCTCTGTCATGGTTGCATGCGCTGCCTGCGATTCTTTGTGGAGCCTGAGCTGTTCGGCCCAGTGTTCGTTGATCTGCTGAGCCTGGCCGCCTCGCGTTGTGGTCCCGTGTCCGTTTTGAAGGCTGGCGCCTGAGAAGGGGCTCGGATTTGACAGGACACTACTCGCAAAGCCCGAATGGCCCATCATTCCGCCACCTCCGCCATGGCCAT